TTTGTGGGGAAAATGGGATTTTATTGGGAAAAATGGGATATTGTGGATAAAAATATGGAGGAGATGGGGTTTTAGGGAGAGAAAAAAAGATGGAATTAAAGGGATTTTATGGAAAAAATGGGAAAAAAGATGGAGCATATGGGATTTTATGGAGAGAAATATGTAGGGAAAGGGATTTGGGGGAAAAAATAGGATTTTATGGAGAAAAAAGTGGAGCAGATGGGGTTTTATGGAGGAAATAGGATTTTATAGAGAAAAAAATGGAGGGGAAGGGATTTGGTGGGAAAAATGGGGAAAAAAACATGGAGAGAAAGAGATTTTATGGAGAAAAATATGGAGGGAAAGGGATTTTATGGAAAAAAATGGGATTTTATGGGGAAAACAAAATTTTATGAAGACAAAATTGAGGGAACAGAATTTTATTGGTTAAAAAATTGGCAAAAATGGGATCTTGAGGTTAAAAATCATTGAGGAGGTGGCATTTAATGGATTAAAAAAATGGGGAAAATTGGATTTTAGGGCTAAATCAGGGAGGAAATGGGATTTTAGGGATAAATCCCTTTTTTGTTTTACGGAACCATGTGGATTTGGGATCTGAAGGGAAAATTGGATTTTGAGGGAATTTGGAATTCCAAGTCGCCGACGTCGCCCCCTGCGCCTTCCTTGGGATAAAATTCCGATTTTTCCTGGGTTTTATCCCAAATTTTCCTGGTTTTTATCCCAAATTTTCCTGGTTATTATCCCAGTTTTTCATGGGTATTTTCCCAGATTTTCCTAATTCCCACCTTTCTTCATGCCCCTTTGGAAAATTGGATCCCTTGAATATTTAGGAATAATAAAAGCGATAAAAAAAGACTCCAAAATTTCACTTTTTTCATGGAATTCCTCCCCAGGATTTGGGAATTTGGATCCGTCCGTCGGCGTTTTGCCGTTTGGGTGGGAATAAAATGAGGATTTTGGGGGAAATTTTGGGAAAATCCCAGAAATGTGACATTTCTGCCCCAAAATCACCTGGAAGTGACTTTTCCATTTATCCCCATGGATTTGGGGTTGAAGGTTCCTCCATGGGTTGGGTTGGGATCTCCAAAGTTCGGGAGGATCCTTCTGGGAACGCGATTCCGACTCGGATCCGACGGCTGGGGAGGAAATTTGGGATCAGCCTTGGGGTTAAATCTCTGGAATCTTCTTGTGGACCAGGAAGTTCCAATTTGGACCCAAAACCGATGGTGGAGGTTGGGATCATCCTTGGGTTGGGATCTCCAGGTGATCTCCATGGAACCTCACGATTCCGACGGGGACCCAAAATCGGTGATGGAGTTTGGGATCATCCTTGGGTTGAAGTCCTTGGAATCTTTTTGTGGACCAGAAAATTCCAATTTGGGCCCAAAATCGGTGATGGAATTTTGGATCATCCTTGGGTTGGGATCTCCAGGATCTCCATGAACTTCACAATTCCATTTGCGACCCTAAATTGGTGATGGAGTTCAGGATCATCCTTGGGTTGGGATCTCCAGGATCTCCATGGAACCTCACGATTCCAACTGGGACCCAAAATTATCGATGGAGTTTGGGGTCATCCTTGGGTTGAAGTCCTTGGAATCTCCTTCTGGACCAGGAAATTCCAGCTGGGACCTGAAATCGGTGATGGAATTTGGGATCATCCTTGGGTTGGGATCTCCAGGATCTCCATGGAACCTCACGATTCCAGCTGGGACCCAAAATCGGTGATGGAATCTGGGGTCATCCTTGGGTTGAAGTCCTTGGAATCTTCTTGTGGACCAGGAAATTCCAATTTGGACCCAAAATCGGTGATGGAATTTTGGATCATCCTTGGGTTGGGATCTCCAGGATCTCCATGGAACCTCGTGATTCCAGCTGGGACCCAAAATCGGTGATGGAGTTTGGGGTCATCCTTGGGTTGAAGTCCTTGGAATCTTCTTGTGGACCAGAAAATTCCAATTTGGGCCCAAAATCGGTGATGGAATTTTGGATCATCCTTGGGTTGGGATCTCCAAATTCCGGGGTCGTCCTTCTGGGAACGCGATTCCAACTCGGATCCGACAGCCAGGGAGGAAATTTGGGATCATCCTTGGGTTGAAGTCCTTGGAATCTCCTTCTGGACCAGGGAATGCCAGCTGGGACCCAAAATCGGTGATGGAGTTTGGGATCA